CGTCGTCCAAGTATTGGCGAGCAACCAAACTAAAGTGGGCCGGAGCTCCATCATGCATAAAGTACATGTTTTCTCTTACTTGAAGCGGTACATCTTCCAGCAGTTCCGGCAGTACTTCTTCTAGAAATTGTCGATAATCTGCACCGTTTAATCTGTTCGGTAAAAAATGTGGGCCTATCAAATGATCACCGACGATGCCAGCCCAAACATTCACGGAAAATTGTTGCTGATGATTGCCTTCTGCAATTTCATGTGGATTTTCTTCAGCCCATATGTGGTTATTGTGAAAATTGAAAATACCATCTCTCGAGAAAGATGCTTCATCGGTAAACATAACTTCGGCTCCAAACTGAGGATTTTGAGCTATTTTGTCTTGCATCCATCTACAAAAAGCCAATCTTGGCGGAAAATCTCTTGGCAATAAGGCTTGTACTCTTTGGATATGGTAGGGATACAAAAGTTGTCTTTTCAAAATTCTCCAAACCGTCGAGTGAGGTATGTTTAAGTTGTGAACAATTTTTCTGGTACTTGTGATCGGATTTTTTTCAATTTCGTTTAAGACAGCCTCTTCTACTTGGGCATTTGCAGCTTCCATAGACCGCCCATTATCAGCAGTATTCTTTTTAAAACTTCCATTTTCCCATAGTCGATGCGTTGAAACAAGTTATGATGTGGTACTCGATGATCACGATGTCTTGATACAGCCGTCTTGCTTCTGCCGAATTACCGCTCGCCATTCCGTAAAGGTAATGCATTTCGCACATTTCAGCGTTTGTGTAATTCATTTTTACTTTTGTAATACAAATTGACTTTTCGCAGGTACAAACTAATTGTTATTTTGACAGGAGGTAGCTTTCGTTTTAAAATGTAAAGCCTACTTGATAAAAAAAATTATAATACATTTAGTAAAATAAAAATTTTATTTCAAATAATTGACCACGTTTTTCAACATAAAAGTAGATTTTTCTCGAAATCGGTCAACTTTAGAGCTTATGACCAAGAGTACTTTTTTTGTGTAGAAAACATTGGTGGTTCAAATGGGCGTCTCAAAACCGTACTTTTCCCAGTAGCGTAGAAGTTGGGGAGAAAAACACCCACTTCCCCTTCAAAATCTTCACCAATTATGACTTTGAAAACAATTTTTTCTCGCACAGAACATAGCTTATTATGAGTAGTAAATGCTTACAAAAGCTGTTTTCTGTACGATAAACGGTTCCAGAGATATTCGCAAAAAACGAAATTTTTTTTACAATTTCAACACCCTGTATCTCGAAAATTGTGCATTTTAGAGGGTAAGTTAATACAAACTTTTTTTCAAATTTTCGGACGAGTCATCACATCCTGGACTCCTGCGCATATATTATGAAACACCCTGTATACATTTATTCAAATAAAAAGTTAATTGCCGTGCATTAAACATGAAAAATATATGCGAGCTAATATGTGTTGTATAAATTTCATTCGCATATATTATATTCAGTTCGCGTAAATTAGTTTATGTAAGGTTGGTACTACAATGAAACTCCCGTGTATAAGCATAGGCTTCCCTCCCGCACCGCCTACCCCGCAAGAGATCTATAGAACCCCCTTAAAAATATACCTAACACAAAAATGTGATAAAAGAAAATACAAGGTTATGTTTGAATATGTTAGGTATATCATACAAAGTGTTCCTAAACTCCTTGTAAAATGAACTACTAAATACAGATCCTTCAGGTCGAATAATGTTAACATGTCACGAACGCAATCTGTATAGTTGAATTTTTAGCAGCATCGAACTCTACGACTATAAATTACATTTTCATTTTTTAATTTGATAAATAGGAAAATTTTTAGAATCATTGTAAAATATATAAAAATAAATTTAAATAAAGCTTAATAATACTTTTAAAAGAACATATAATTAATTTCTTACCTTTACAACTAAAATTTTTTCATGAAGGTCTAACAATTGTAAATGCTTTGGCTGATTTCTAATTCCTTTAAAGTCTAATGAACTTTGTTTTTTTATTTCAGAATGCTTACTATTTAAATTGAAACTGTCTACAATATCTGCAGACTTTTTCCTTTTGGTGAAACATTTTTGAGCATTTTTATTGGGTACCTTAAATTTTCCAGTTAAAGGTTTTACTTCATATTCTATTTCACTATCTTTCTCAAAAGAATTTTTCTGAGAAATACAATTTGTATCTGGCTGTTCACAATTACTAATTTCATTAACTGAATTGAGATCTGCAAGCTTTTTCTTTCTCTTTTTGTGTTTCTTAGATAAAATCTGCATGCTTTGTGTACTGCTTTCTTTATTACAGTTTGTCTCATTAAAGTTTCTATGCATTGCAGCATTGTTTGCAACTGATGGCAACGAATTAGTTTCCATTACATCAATTTCACCTACTGAATTCAGATTGGTAAATAAAGACTGTCTATAATTGGTTAATTTCAAAACACATTCATCTATTTCAAGCATTCTATTAATGGCTTCTGATATATTTTTTGGGGTTTGTTGATAACAACTCGTAAGTAAATGATCAATACATTTTTTCGCACAATGTGTTTCATATTGTTCACCTGTTTGTGTCGAGGTATTTGACACTGATATGACAATATCATTTTTAATTGTATTTCGTTCGGTTTTATTTTGAATTATTTGTTTGTCACTCTTTTCGACTGATAGTAATAAACCTCTCTGGGTCAATTCTGTATTATCTTTTTCATTATCGTTTTCCTCAGTGGCATCACAAGTTTTAGTTTTAACGAAAGACCTTGGTAAATTGGTTTTATTTAATTTCAAACAGTCAGCCTCCGTAATACTGCTTTCCTCGTTTTTTTCAGCATCACTACTTGTTTGAAGTGAATAATTTCCATATTCGTATTCTGAATCTTGACAAATTTCACCATTCATTACATTAATTATAGTACTATTTTCCTGGTTCTCTTTATATGTATTATCGGAATATTCAGATTCAGGCTGTTCACAAATTTCTTTTTTGACGGTAACTGCAGTAATTTCAGAATCATTTTTACTGTTAGTAATTATATTGTCGTCCTTATTTGGTGTGTAATTATTATTACTGTTTATAAGCTTATCTACATTGTTACTGTTTAACTTATTAACAATATTGTCATTAGTCTGTCTGGAATTTTGGCCATTTTCCTTACAAAGTATGTCAAATTCAGCAGGTTCGGATTTTACAATTATTTGGGTAGGTTTGGTTTTCAATGCAAGATCATTAAATTTGCCCACAGAGTTGTCTGTATATATGTCATTTGATCCTACAAGAGAAGTACTGTTAATCTATAATTGAATATGATAACAAGACTATCTTGGAAGCCATTAAATATAGAGAGATGATGAAATTGGGTCAAAGTCCAATAATAAATTATACTAAAGTGAATAACAATTTTTCTGAGAAACTGAAAAATGTAATTTTACATTGAGGAGGTTTATCTGATTTGGTATTGACAAACAAATATTCATAAAAAAAATTATTAAAAGCTTATTAATATGAAGAAAATCCCCAAAAAAATTATGACTAGTTTGGATACCTAAGAGACGAGATATTAATAAAATAATTTTTCACGATTTAGTACGAAGTGTTAAGAGAATGCAGATTTTTTTGGTCTTTCCACTTAGAATGTTCAACAATTGATGAACAGTTTCCATAGCAACTGGTATAAATAGGAAACCAATATCTAAAAGCTGTTTTACATTGACAATTTATTGATCAATTAATTCATGAAGTCGCTTCATCAAGAAATTGGAAAAGTGCAATACACCAAATCTGCTGTCAAATAACTTCATGAATTTATTCATCAAGTTCTTGACAAATTAGAGCATGTTCTAATTTTTGACATTTCTTCGTGAAGTACAGAAGTACCAACCGAACAGATTTCCAGCCTCAGATCAGTAATATGATGTATATTTCAAGCTTAGGCATCTAAACAAACAGAATGATCGAACGCGAACGAGCGAACGTCGAGCCGAGTGCGCCAGCCAAGTGCAAACTCTCGTAAGACTTTAGATGTACCCCCATACCGGATAAACCTCCATAAGCTATTTTCATAAATTCCAAACAAAATATCATGGAATTTTAATGAAAATTGGCCTCAAAACCTAATACTGTGGCTGCAAACAGGAGATCTGACAATTCTAACGTAGATATACTCTTCAAAGTTACCAAATCTTATACAGGGTGGTGATAATTTAATAACGAGTTTGGTCCACTGGAAACCATCTAAACTTGATTTTTTGTAATGGAACACCCTGTATATTTTTTCTAATTTGGATGTGCCGCTTTATTCTCTTTCCATCCATACGTACTATGGTTCCCTATACTTATCTCTTCTAGTTTTCATGTTATTTGAAGTTATTTGGGTACTCTATTATGGGCATTGTGATAGGAACAGTAACAGAACGTGTAGAATATTTAATGAATCCTACCCAAACTTACAACCTATACGTAACAAAGTTTAGAAAAATCTTTACAAAGATAAAAAAATTAAAATTAATACAATTCTAAATATCTAGGTAAAACAACTGTTCAAAATGTTGACCATTAACTTCTAAACATTTGAAGAGGCGGAAATTAATTCCATGAGTTGTACTACTTCTTGTTTCCGCAGGATCCAAGCTCTGAAGGACTTCAACCATTCACCTCTTCAATTACTTCCTGCTGTTAACCGGTGTTCGGTTCACGATTTGTTTGATAATGGGCCATAAATAATAATCGCAGAGAATCAAGTTAGGGGATCTAGAAGGCCAATCCCATGAACCAAAACATCCGAACCACCTATCCTCAAAAAGCCTAGTCAACTCTACACCAACTTCTTGAGTTCAATGAGCTGGCACACCATCGAGTTGATAACAGCAATTTTGATAGTATTGAAATAGGTTATCCAAAAAGTCCTCAACAACATTTTTTGGATTTAATGAGATTTTCGTGGTAAGTACACAATTTTAGTTTGTTTTTTTCTGGAATCCATTTGTTTTGAAGTCGTGCTAAAATTTTCACGGCCACCCTCGCAGCTAAGTACGAATACGTAAGTAATAATATTATTAATCTATTTCAGTAGAGTACCCAAATAACTTCAAATAACATAAAAACTAGAAGAGATAAGTATAGGGAACCGTATGGATGGAAAGAGAATAAAATGACACATTCAAATTTGAAAAAATATATGGAGTGTTCCATTGCAAAAAATCAAGTTCAGATAGTTTCCAGTGGACCAAACTCGGTATTGAATTATCACCACCCTGTATGAGATTCAGAACTCTGAAGATATGGTTATGCAGCTTAGGTCCTTCAAATTGCTTTATCTGTCCAACTGTAGAATGTGCACGGCTTTAAAGTAGGTTCTGATTTCATTTTTTTTTTCCTAAAAAGCTAAATATCTCTAAAACGGATAATTTTAGGAATACGGAAACTTGATCAAAGTCACCTTAAAATGAAGTGTAGAATCCAAAAATATAAAAATATACAGACTGTTTCATTTAAAATAATAAAGTTGACGTCAACTTCCGGTATAACCGGAAGTATTACAGGAACAAAATTATTAGATTTGAAGAGCACACCCAAAAACCCTAGTACGCCACTTTTCAAAATTTAAACCTAAGTAGGTTCTGAAATAATCTAATAGGCCACTCACTTTGAGCCACCCGGTATATTGGAAAAGTAAAAATGTTTAATTTCTAATAAAAAAATTGGGAAATAATGCAATAATCTCTTAAAGCACAAATCCACTTTGTTCTCCACAAACACATTTACACGGTCACGATTACGATGGAGACTGCGATTGAATTCGTCTCTAATCAACAAAAAAGTCCACACATACTTATTGCGACTAGTTGGCGATACAAGGCGTTCATGCAGCATTAGATCTTAGTGATTGTGCGATATAATTTGTTGGCGTTCAGAATGCAGCAGGTTATGTTTATTACTGATCGCATCAATATCAGAATGGAATTAACAGAGAAATTAAATGAAATTATTAAAAAACATCTTCGGTCTTTATATTATAAGATTATAAGAATGTGCGTGTTAAAATTTACAGCAAATTTATAAAATACGCGATTTAAATTTAGTTCCTAACTTCATTACCAAGTTTATTATATTACTTTCTAATTCGTTGATTAAGTAGTCGTTTTTCATCCAACGATACCACAAATAGTAAAGCTTCTTTCTGTAATTTATACATTTTTATGCACTAAGTACTGTACTTATTACTATTGGTAAAATAAGATCGCACAAGTGTGTTCTCTGACAAAGGGGATTGCGATCATGGTCATGAACATGTAGATGTGTTCTCCGCTCAACAAATGAATTCTCAGTTGAATCAAATATTTTCCTGTGCTGCTCCTACACTTTTTTTTATCATATTATTAAATGGGCTATAAAATTCTATATAGTTATATTTGTGTAACAGCCGGTTTTTTAGATGTTTTTCACTAAAAAAATAATAATTTCTACATCTAATATCAAAAATTTCAATTCAATTTAGTTCAAGTTGTAAAAGAGCTTACAAGGGTTACTTCCAATTCCATACCACTTTATTGTATGTATTAATGACTTCCAATTCCATACCACTTTATTGTATGTATTAATGACTTCAAATTCAAATAATTGGAAGTTTTTGATACTTTTGGTATATTGAATCATCTTGTCTTATTGCCATATCAATTATACAAAGTTTAAAGAAATTAATAAAATTCTTAACAGAGATTTTAACAATTTTAAGAATTTGTTTTCTAAATTAACCTGCCTATGCAGTTGCAATTTATCGTGTTACCTACATACCTAAAGAAAATTCATCGGTACTTGGGTTATTATAATATAAATCATTACTATACCATTCTGGATCAGTATCTAGAGTATTTCTCAATTCCTCTATTAAGTCATGCGGTAAATCCTCAATTTTTATACCTATATCAGGAATAATAGAATTAATAAAATCACTAGTTTCTTTTCTCTCTTTTGAATGTGAACACATAGCACGAAGAGCCCGAGATATTTCTAATCTTTTCTGTTTTTGAATTTGTTCTATTACAGCATCATAACCTGACATATTACTGTTAATGAGATTCTTCTTTTTGCCATCATTTAATTTTGTTATGTGGTTCATAATTTTTTCTTGAATTTCATCAATATTGTATATGGCACTTTTTTTAGTTTTACTTTTATTACAATAATTATTGGTCGGTGACATTGATTCAACAGCTTCATTTCTTGTCTGACTTTTTAATCTGCCTTTCTCATTTTCTCTGCTTGATCGATTTATACATTCGGAAGTTTGTTCATTTGGATTTAAAAGTTGTCTCATTATTATTGCACTTGTCTGTTCAATTTTTTTCGTCATATATTCTTCACTTCCTAGTACAGGTGAAATCGATCGAGAATTTTTTCTTCTGTCATTGGATCTCATTGGTCTTTTAACTGAAGAGTTAATATATTTATATTTAGAATATATGCTATAACTCTGGTGTTGTTGATAAAAATCCATAGAATTTAGACCACTAAAACAATATTAATATTAGTAGATATTCATTTTATCTGTAAGACATTTTACCTAGAAATATCATTATAACTTCTATAATTATTCCTCACATACATCTCCCCTTGATTTCCTCTGTTGGATTTGAGTCTTCTTGATTTAATTTTCATTTTAATATACAGAAGCAAGTACTTCGGTTTTTAAAAAACAACAAAATATCTGTCTCTATTTGACACTTTTGACAGTATACTACACAAAACAAAACATATTTATTTACACCTCAGAGCATGGAGACTATACAAGGAGCCCGAACTCCATGTAAACAAAAATCTAACAAAAATAAGAGGGCGCTAGTGTTCCATATGTCCCATATGTAGAGAGGGGAGATAAAAAGCGGCAGTTTGAATTATAAATCAATCATGTCATTTTTGTAGTGTTAATAATTTTAAAATAAATAATGTAAGCTACTTTGAATTATATAAATCATGAAAATATGTCATTCCGGACTGTAATTAAACTAAATAGATAATAAAAAATATTAGCTTTATGAGAAGAATTTGGTGTTCGTAGAAAGAAACTAGTTTTCAAGGAATTTATGACGTGATCTTGTTAATATTAACCTATAAGTAAGGTTTATGTTTTTGATAATTACTTTGTTAAAGATTTTAGTTTAATGTTAGTAAAAGTCACATTTTATACAGGAAGTTGCCTTTAAAAAAATAGTAATTCTTGTATTATTAATATGGAATTTTTACTTGTGGTAATAAAAAATAGAATATAAAAAAACTCGGTGTTTTAAATAAACTTTTTAAAATATTACAGATGTCCGATTTTGAGTCCAGTGATTCAGATGACTTATTAGACGCATTGTCCAGCTTGAGAGTGGTGATGAAATAGATTTATTCTAAGAAACAGATAGAGTAAAAAATAAGAACTACTTT